ATGAGTAATTATGAATTTTCCTTTTCTGGTGGGTTTTTTAAAACCTGATTGGTTTATTGACTGTCCTCGTCTGCTTCTCTGTATATAAAAGAAGTATTTTATTGGGGCATTAAATTAGATTTAGGCTTTAAACAGCACTCGTTTGGATTTGTGTACATGAACACGAACTAATTAACTATATTTTAATGAATATTTTATGAGACCAGGGTGGTATATCAAAGGTATGTGGTGGAGTAAGTATAAATGTATTAAATCCATACTTATAACCTTGATCATGGAAGTAATATGTCCTTTTAAACAGACACCACCAATCAGGCTCACCCTCAATACGACATTTACTTTTTCTTTTCCTCTTCATCTCACTTGTTATCTTCTGCTTTCACCTCTTCCTCAGTTCCAAGACGAGAGCAGAACCTTTTCAATAGACTGAGTCTGTTTAGTGTTTTGGAATAGCCCACTCTGTCTAATGGCCCTTGACATGCTGGATGAAGGGAGATTTGTTGTTGCATGTGTGTATCTATAAGTAAGATACAAAGAGAGGTAAATAAATCGAGGAAAAGTGTTTTGAAGATAATAAGTGATTGTAAAAAAATGCCAAAACACAAAATGAGCTCTGCCAAAAGAAGATTTTAAGACTGAAATCGACTTTAGTATGAGAAAAAAGGATGGAGAAAAGATTTACCTGATGTACCTTGAAAATTCAATTTAAGGCGACCCAGTACCACTACACGCCTGTTTTTTCATGCAATTTAAATTTTGACATTTTAAATATATTTTACATAAATGTATTTGTGACCAAAATACATATATTGTATAGTAAAGCTTCACGATCGTACCCCCCACCATGCCTCGTAATTTCATAAAAGAAATGAAATCATCGTATTATAGTCAAGATTACTGATTGTTTACCGATTTAAATTTTTACACCTAATACTTACACTGGCAAGCTAGCTTAATACATGATAGCTGATTGCTATACAGCTTTCTTTTTGGCTCCTGACAGTATTTCTTCAAAAAAAAAAAAAACAACCTCTGTTTAAACTCTATGTCAACTAAAAGACAAAAACAACCATTTCAGTTGCCTTAAGGTGCTTTATATTGTAATGCAAAGACTGTATAGACTCCTACACTTTCTATAAAGGTCTTGGCTCATATTTGGATAGATGTAAAACCTCATTTTCATAAATTTCATAAAACTGACAATGCAAAAAAACATTTGAATGTACCTAATTTGGGGAAGATCTCTGATTAAATGTTTACCCTGCCTGGGTTTTTCCCCTTAACTTCAGTCAGAGCTGGAAAACAACCACTGCTGACATTTCTACTTCCTCTTCGCACTTTTTAAATAAAATACTGTGAACTACATCCCCAAAACAGAAAATCTGACGGTGTGTATGTTTTGTTACAAGTGGGATATTTTTTATTTTTAGGAACTCTACAGCCTCGCACTCTGGCTTGTGTGGACGAAGCCTTTGTTTGCTTTAGCAAAGCTGCTGTTTAGAAATCACTAATTCAAAGTCAGACCTTTTCCCTATTAAGGAATCACTGCTGTTACCTTCATGGCAAGTAATGCTGCCCGGCCTGTTTGCGGCACTTTAAAGTACGGACATTCTTTTCCCTCTTTTTTCCTGCTTTAATCAAAAAAAATAAGAAAAAAATGAAAGTAGCAGGGAGCAAATGAAGACTGCTGTGTGCTGCTGGGATAAAGAGGTCAAATTCTCATGACTGCAGGAAATTAAAGTTTATTTCCAAAGCACACAGCCCCTCCCATTGAACGCATGCCTCATCCAGCTGAGGCTGATCTGCTACTGATGAGTGTGTGCATGTACATGTGTATGATTACATAATGCACATTCACAGGGAGATAAGGTGACAGACAAGACAAAAACAAAGAGGGGATAAACAGCCCAGGCTTTGATGTTTAAAAGACTCGGCTACCTTCCTGCGCTCCGACTGGCTGATTAAGAAGTTCAGAACCTCAACGTCACACCGTTTGTCTGAGCTGATTGTTAAACAGGCCACCTTTATTTATTACTGATGAACAGATGCATGGCTACTGTTTTGGATTTTATCTCCTAACCCCAGTTTACTATCCCATTTTGGTTGTTGTTTGTTTGTCTCTTCACCATTTTTGGCTGTGACTGATATTTGCAGCCCCTGAGATCAAGTGCACCGGATGCAGGGGGCCAAGGGACCACTGAATCCTTCCCATCTACTCCGAGACTTCTGGTAAAATAATTCTTTTAACTTCTTATTTGTGAGTAATACCACTGTGACTTTGAACTGAAACAATACTGGCAGGACAGATGCTGTTGCGTTAGCCGATTGTTAGGTTTGGTTAATTATGTTCTTAGAGCCTTAAAAATCATCAGGTCATACATGCACAATGAACATGGCTGCAATAATATGCAATAATATGAGTCAATTGCCTTGAACAGCCCATACTTTAAGCAATGTTTTACTCTGTGGTATTCTTTTTTTCATGTGTTGCAGGCATAGGAACCAAATACAAAACTAGCGTAAACATAAGGAGGAAACACAGAGGCAAGTAACTGACACTGGGGATGGGTTGATAGATGTTTCAAACACTGCTCCAAAGTGTGGTTAAAAACACCCATGTCACATGACCATGGCTACATGTCACAGTGGTCACCATGGTGACAGGTCTCTCTAATTACACTGACTGCCTGTATGCTCATTATATACTGCCACTTCATTAGGTATACCTATTCAACTGCTCCTTTACACAAATATCAGCTAATCAGCTCTGTGCATTTAGACATGGGTGGTGGCTGATGAGGCCAAAGGAGAATGGTCAGACTGCTTCAAGGTGATAAGAAGGTAGGCAACAGTAACTCAAATAACTACTTGTGCATACAAAGGTATGCAGAAGAGCATCTCTGAAAATGAAACAAGGTAAACTTTGAAAGGGATGTGCTGCAGCAGCAGAGACCACAAAGTGTTTAACTCCTGTCAACTAAGAAAAGAGAACTGAGGCTAGTGAGGCGATGTTTTATCAGGCAACAGAGCATCATTTAAACTCCAGCCTAAGTATTATTGCTGACCACATCCATCCCTTTATGACCACAGTGTCCCATCTTCTGATGGCTGCTTCCAGCAGGATAACAAACCATGTCACAAAACTCAAATCATCTCAGACTGCTTTCTTGAACACAACAATGAGTTCACTGTACTCAAATGGCCTCCACGGTCACTTGATCTCAAGCGAACAGAGCACTTTTGGGATGTGGTGGAACAGGAGATTTGCATCATGGATGTGCAGCCCATAAATCTGCAGCAACTGTGGGATTCTGTCATGTCAATGTTTCCATGTTTCCAGCATTTTGTTGAATTAAGACAGTTCTGAAGTCCAATGCGGACCAACCCAGTACTAACAATGAGTAACCAGTGAAGCAGCCCATGCTCATATATTTCAGATTATCAAAGCATTGAAAGTTTTTACTCTTTTTAATGCATAACTTTTTATATCTTGCTGCTATACCTGACTAGAAAATCATCATCTCAAAGACGCTCACCTGGTTTAATAAATATTTAAGGATCGTAAGCACAAATCCAACTACAGGTAAAAAGCCAAGAGTTTTAAGACTGAAATGATCCAGGGAAGTAATAAAAGGACAAAAAAGAAAAAGAAGGAAAACGAGAGGAAGTGGAGAGAGAGTTAGTTTGCAGTCCCTGCAGAGCAGCGACTCATAAAACAGGGCATGAGAATGAACTCCAGACCACACCAAATAAGAGAAAAATCTGTCACTCAAGTACCAACACACTTCACAAAGAATTCCTTGGACCCTGCCAGCAAAACTAAAAACCACACTTGTGATGCATAAAACATTCAAATACCTGCATACGGGGGCCACACACGAAAATAAATGGAGAGTGGAATATATACAAACTGTACAAGCACACTGGAGAAGGTTTATGGGAGCGATTTGTCCTTCAGTTCCAGCAGGATGAAGCACCCAGAGAATAAAGGGAGCGGGCACATAGAGAGAAAAGTGAGATGAAACGCGAGGAATGAAAACACGTACGGAGATGGGGAGGGAAAAAAAGCAACAAAAGACGGACTGGAGGGAGGGAGCGCAACGGGAGGTGATGCTGAGACTGTAATAGACTGGGTGGCCAGGAGAGATTACAGCCCAGGGGAGAAACCGAGGAGGAATATTCCCACACTTACTCAGAGAGCACTTTGTCTGTGAGACGGGCCGAGGAAACTGTCTCACAGGACACAAAAAATGACAGCCATTTTAACTTTTACTGATCCAATTTGGAGCTTAGAGAATCTTGGTGACTGAGATGTGTGAGAGCTGAAGGAGTCATTTTTAAGGCAAATAAAATGAGCTTTTCTACGCTCGTCACAGTTTTTCATAGATGGCAGCAGCCGGTTTTCTTTTTCCAGATTAAGTGTATTAATAACTGTATTAC